TTTGATTTTTTTGAAAAAAATTTAGAATTTTTTTAGTTATTATTTAAAAAATATTATTTTTCTACAAACGTCAAAAATGACAAGGTTCGCGATAGGGTTAATAGCAATGTGCGAAGGGACACTTTTTTTAATTTTCCTACGTTACCATGACACGGTGCGCGAAGTTATGCGCGAAATGCCTATTTCGCACGCACTGCATGTAAATTATATGGGATTTTGATTTTTAGAAAATGAAGAACTAAATTATAACTAATTATTTATTTCGAAATATTCAAAAATTTACAAAGATCAAACTTAACACTAATGCGTATTCTAGTTATTATTTACAATATTAACATTAATAGTACAACCAGTAAAATAAAAACACTAAATCACCACAATACACCAAAACACTTTTACTTTTACACTGGACGCGCGTTTTGCTAACCATGTTAGCATCATCAGCAGATGATTATAAACTAAAGTACAATCTACAAGTTGAGCGTTTATATACTCGCCCAGTGGGCACCGAGTGGGCCTGGCAAAATCTAGCCAACCGAGTCAGAGCCAACTGAGCGTAACAGTTAGATTTCCGCCACTAGAGTAGTAGGAACAAAGAACTTGAAGGAATTGGACCGTTGTCTCTGTTCCTGACGTGACGACAAATATAAGAACAATGAGATCCCCGATTAGAATATCAATGGACGAAGTAATTAAGGCATGTACCTCACTAAAAAATCGTAAAGCACCCGGACCGGGAAATATACCGGCAGAGTTAATTAAATCAGGACCGAAAAAACTGTACGAATACTTAAGGAAAATATTCCAGGACAGCATAAACGGAACGGACGTACCACAAGAATGGAATGAGGCTTACCTCTCAACTATATACAAAAAGGGAGATCGTACTAAGTGCGAAAACTACAGGGGAATATCAGTAACAGCCACCGTGAGTAGGATATATGGAAAAATTTTGAGAAATAGGATCGAAAACGAATACCAAGAAATAGAAGCCGAAGAACAAGCAGGATTTAGAGCCGGAAGATCGACGGTGGACCACTTATTTACAATCACTCAAGTAATAAGTAAAAAGAGCAATATAAACCAAGATCTACATCTTGTGTTCGTGGACCTGCAGAAGGCATACGACAGCGTTCCCCTTGTGAGACTTTGGGAAGCTATGGAAAAAACCAATATAAATATAGAGCTAATAAAAGCAGTGGAATCATTATATAAACAAACAAAAACTAGAATAAAAGTCGGCAAAAAGTTAACAACAGGATTTAATGGAACCAAAGGTCTGAAACAAGGGTGCTGTATTTCACCAACATTGTTCAAGATATATCTCGAACAAGTTCTCAAAGGTTGGAAGCAAAAATGTAGAAATATGGGAGTACCCATAGGGGATAACATGCTCTACACACTTTGCTTCGCGGACGATCAGGTGATCATAGCACAAGATTACGATGACATAAATTACAAGACACGTAAGCTTATAGAAGAATATCAGAAATGGAGACTCGAGATCAATACTAACAAAACAGAATATATGTGTATAATATATGAGGAGAACAACAAGATCTAATACCAGAAGAAGGGAAGAAAATTAGTGCTGCACAAAATACAAATATTTGGGTATGCAAATCACAAATGATGGACTGTTGGATACAGCAATTAAAGAACGAAACCAACTTGGAAGGAATGCTATCACGGTATTGAATGGGATACTGTGGGACAGAAGCATAAACAACAAGAACAAAACTCTAATATACAATACCATCATAAAGAGTATAACCACGTACAGCTGTGAAGTCTGGTCAATTAAGGAAACAACAAAACGAATGCCGGAAGCTACAGAGATGGATTTTTGGAGAAGATCAGCAGGCAAATCAAGACTCGAGCGAATAACTAATGAACGCATAAGAGAGATTATGGAAGTTAAACATACGATAGTCGACGACATAAAGAACAGTCAACTCATATGGTACGGGCATGTCCAAAGAATGGCAGAAATAAGAATCCCAAAGCAAATTATAAACTGGAAACCTGCAGGAAGAAGAAAACCGGGTAGACCGAGAAGAAGTTGTACAGGAAGGGATTGACACGTTTATGGAGGAAAGATCTCTCGGAGACGGTGCATGGAGAGACAGACAGGCATGGGGAGATGGCATCGGAAGACGTAGAACGTTTTAAACCGATTAATATATATAGTCTCTGTTCATACTATCTTTACATTTATTAATTCTGATGCTTTCATATGCATCTAATTGCCTGTAATTTGAGACTTGTTTAATTAATTTTAAATTATTAAGATCTATACAATATACAATGTTCTTTATCAACAATATGTTCGGCAACGCAAGATTTATCCGGTCTACCATATCTTATCTGAGCTAAATGTTCTTTAAATCTAGTTAATATTGATCTTCTAGTTTGCCCAACATATTTCTGATTACGATTTTTTACGATTTTTCTGAACAACCAGTACACGAACCAATAATTAATCCCAAACTAGATAGTTCTGATTTTGCTTGAGATATGGGGGTTTTGGGACTTGAGACACTATATCCAATTTTGATGTAGAGGTACTTGATACCGGTATTTGACACTCTAAAATTATCCGTATCCCTCGGCCACTGTCGAAGATTTCCATCCTCCGTGGCGCTTCAAACTAAATATATCACCCTCTGCATTAGCAAGGTGTGTGGCTGAAGTTGAAGTTCTCCGGAAACAATGCCCAGTGTAGGCCTCATAATCTGGCAGTTTCAAGTGTTTTGCTATCATGCTAGGCATCTTGCTCACGCTTTTTTTTTTCGAAGCAATAATATAATAATAATAATTTTTAGGGATATCCCGATTTTAACGTTTGTAGAAAAAACTGTTGTTTGCAACTCGTGCGCAAACTACCTTGGTGATCTCGACTAAATTTTCAACTCGGCTACGCCTCGTTAAAAAATTCTCTTCTTCTCCTAATGGAGGTTGGAAATCATCATGGCAATTCTAACTTTGTTAACGGCTGCTCTGAATAACTGGTTTGAAGTCATTCCAAACCATTCTCTCAAATTCTTGAGCCATGATGTTCTTCTTCTTCCTTGGCTCCTTCTGCCCTTTATCTTTCCTTCTATTATGTTCTGCAGCAGGGCATATTTAGGTCCTCTCATTATGTGTCTAAAGTACTCAAGTTTTCTCTTTTTAAGGGTGTTAATCACCTCCTGGTCCTTCTTAATTCTGCTTCTAAAAAATTCAAGTATCAGCAAAATAGCAGTTCGCGCACTAGATACAAAAATAACTATTCTTGATAATATTGAAACATAGGTAGTAGATTAAATTTACAAGAAAGAAAACCCAGAAAAAATCCAGTGGTTCTTAAATTTTAAACAAAAAATAATTTCTTTTTTAATTTTTAAAGTAAAATAACGTTATTTTTGACTTTTTGAGAAACGGTAAAGAGAAAATCTCGGAGAAAATGTGTTTCTTTTATCGAGATCTTGACGATCTACAGTTTTTGATTTTTTAGTGGCACCCGGTATTTACTCTATTCGATAGAAAATAACAGTCTCAATAGAATGACACATCATATGCCAATTTTTGAAATTTTTCCATATGGTTTATTTGAAATTATAACTTACGGTTCGTAACGAAAATTTGACGTGTGTGGTATCAAATTATACGTAAAAAATGCTTTTTCCAAATATGCCAATGAGCCACCCTCGTTCTATTTAAAAAAAAATGAGATATGATTAAAAATACAATTTGAACATTTTCTAACTGGCCAGGACAAGACACTAAAAACATTAGACGATCCAATCTATTTTTCCAAGGCTTCTTGATTAAGAATTAGTGTTTGTGAATGAAAGTTTAAAATACAATTTTTTATTAAGCGAGGACGTCAAAAATTGACATATAACATGTCATTCTATTCAGAGTGTCATTTTCAATCAAAAAGAAAAATAAAAAATACGGAGGGTGCCATTTAAAAATCAAAAGTTGTAGTCATTTCCGGTGAAACAGGAAGTGACCAAAAACAATTGAATACGTCAATCAATCCTGATTTATGTCGTATACTAACGTGCCAAGTCTCGTTATTTTATCTGAAAAATAAAAAAGTTATAGGGGTGAGCCACTTTTGAGACGCACCCGGTATGTTCCATTTTGAGTTATGTTATTATGAATAATAATTATTGATACTAAAATATATAAACATTATATATCAATAGAAAATATATATCTATTAATCTTTAAATATAATCGTAAGTAAATACTTTATTAATTATTTAACATTTTTATTAATTTTTTATAATTTATAAAAACATAATAATACTTTTATTTATTTATTTATAAGATTTGTATTAGAAAGCAAGTAGCTTTAATTCTCCACTATATGAAATAATCGTGAAAATTAGGTGAAGAATAATTTATATATCTTTTAAATTTCAATTGAACTGAAAAACTCCTTCACCATTTTATCAAGAAAATTAATTTTAAGTTTGACTATTTTAGTTCAATAAATTAAAAAATAAATTTTATACTAAATTCTTTTTATACATATCACTGATTTTATATTGTTTGTGATAGAGAACTTAAACATTAAAACACACGCACAAATTCCATTGTATAAAATTGGCAGAGACACTAAACTGTATAATATCCAATATAAAGTGTTTAATAATGAGAAGAAAATTATGGTTGTATAGAGTTTTTCTCACCTTTAAGCAAAATATTTTTTGTAATCAAAATGGTCCGGATTACCTAGATTTAAAATAAAAGTAATTTATTTTATGTTCCCTTTTTTTAAATAAGTTTTCTTTTTTTAAACAATTCCTACAAATCAGATGTAATTATCTAATATTATTTTAGGATTTATTTAAATATTTAAAAGTTATAACAAATAATAGTAAACAATGATTTTTTTAACATTTATTAAACAACATAAACATCAAATACATATAAGAACTATAATAACTTGAATCTATTTACAATAATAATTTAAGTTCATAAATATTTGACATTCCCTCACTATGTATACTATATACTACATATTCGTATTTCCTTGAAAATCTAATATGTATAGCTCTGTTAAAAAAGTCTTAAGGCCTAAAAGTCTTAAAATAAAAATAAAATCACTATCATCCTGGAAAAACTATAGCAAATTATAATTTAATAAATAAAATAAAACAGAAACAAAATAGAGATAAATAATAAATACAAAGGAGATATTTCATAGAACACTATTTATTAATATTTTTGATTTGACAAACATGTTAAGGTGTGATGAGAGTCACATTTATCAAAAAAAAATAGAAGAAAATCTATAAAGCTTTATATTTAAAAAAAAGCTCAATACCATCCTCTCTCTAATTTACTTCGTCTTTTTTGGGGTTTAATGTTTCGGCAAAGTTCGTACCCCAGCGGAATGCAATTTTTTGCAATCAATGTTGCCATATTTCTCTTGTTATTGATCGTTTTTGTCACGAAAATCGTACTGGTTTCGAATACGCGTCTTCTCTGGTACTGAGGCAGGATAGTTTCGAGTTGAGCTAGTCGATCTTCAATCAAAAGTTCGTTGATTTTGTGAGGTGCAAGTTGTGGAGTGACTAGTGATCGGTATTCTTCTGGTGATTCACCAGTTTCACTTGATTCTGAAAATAAAAAGAAAATCAGATTTTTTTTTTATTTTTTGAAAATGAAAAAAAATAATGTAATGCAAAATAAAGATGTGCAGATAGCAAAATCAATATTTTAGCAAAAATAGGAAATACACTCGAAATTTAAGGTGTGAATACTGGAGATATACAGAAAGATCCACAGACTTCGAGACATAAGAAAAATCAAGTCCATTTAGCGTGTGTCGCAATTTCCACACCTTAAAAAATTAGTTTTTTTATAGCTATAGCAACTGCAGCTACTATGAAAAAAGCTGTGTGGTTTTGGTTTGGTAGAAAATAAGGGCACCTGTAATTCATCTGAGAATGTTATAAATCGCTAAAAGAAGTTTCAAATCTCTTGGATTTCTATTAATATTAAATAAATTTTATTAAAAATTGAACTAAAATTGTTAGTATCATTAAAAACAATTCAAATTCAAAAATTGTATCAAATTCCCATATTTATATATTTAGAAAATAAGGGCACCTGTAATTCATTTGAGAATGTTATAAATCGCTAAAAGAAGTTTCAAATCTCTTGGATTTCTATTAATATTAAATAAATTTTATTAAAAATTGAACTAAAATTGTTAGTATCATTAAAAACAATTTAAATTCTAAAATTGTATCAGTCAAATTCCCTTATTTAAGGTAAATATTAAAGTAAATATAAATACAGCTCATTCTAAGCTCTACTTATATTTAAGAAAAAATTGAATCATTGGTGCAATTGGGCCTTATAATGCCATTTCGAATGAATAATAGTATTAATAATGTACATTATAATAATACTTAATTTTATATCATAGTGTGTATTAAAACTACTAAAACACTTTTAAATTAGTATTATATTAACAACTTTTGTTTTTTTAATCCAAAAAAAATAAAAGTAACACATTTTTCAATCAAAATATTTATGGTCCTGAAAAGGACCTTTGTTTTCCCATGTTCGTCAAGGTAGGTAATGGCTAAACGGTAAAAAAAACAGGATAATAAAATTTAAAAAATTACAAAAATTGTTCAAAAATGCCTCCCTCTTGCATTAAACAATAACCCAAACGATCATAAAATCCCCTCCTTACATTGGATAACATATCAGAGGTGACAGTGTCAAAGGCATTAAATATTTTCTGCCTTAACTGCTCCAAGTTTTGAATTACTTCATGGCCGTAAATTTTAGATTTTATGTACCCCCATAAAAAGAAATCATTCACCGAGAGGTCAGGTGAAATTAAACGTCAGCCTAAACAAAACTGTCATTTTTGAAAACTTGTCAAAATTTGGACACACGCTAAATATACTTGATTTTCCTATGTCTCGAAGTCTGTGGACTTTTCTGAATATCTAGACCCTTAAATGTTCGAATTAAAGAACATAAAGTTTATTTAAGAAAGGGCGATTTTCAGAAATCCAAGAATTGTCAGCATTCATGGCACATAGGACACAGAGAACATTTTAACAACGTAAAAATGATTATAAAAGAAGCGATATCCTCTAAACGAAATAAAAGAGGCTGTTTTAATACAGTCTGATAAAAATAAATGAATTGCTCAGGCATCTGTAGAGGAGTAATGTATGGCTATCGCGAGGGCTATCGCTTCTTTGATTTTTAATGGCCATAACATAAATAAACATAAGTAAAAGTTAAAAATAAATTAAAAAATCAATAATACAGAAAGTTTGAGGCTTTTTGGTTTTACCTCATTAAATAATTGTTACAGGTAGTAGGTAACTGTTAATTTGAAAGTTTAACTTGATATAATGTCATTTTAATACAACGTCAACGGTTTTCATAGACGTATCTGTTTAAAAAAACTAAAGTGTTCTTGAACAGCTGTATTTAGATATTTTAAATAGTTGTTTTTTTTTGTTCTTTCTTTGTGTTTTTTTTTGCTTCTGACGGTGGGAAGAGATACAGTTCCCGAAACTATAAGCATTTTTCTGTCTGTTAGGCAAATTTGTTAATTAATAAACCACTGCTGACAATTAGAAACTTTGCAATTAGTCTCCGTTGTATTAAAACAGCAGTGTTTACAAAAAATAACTAATTTTATGACTTTTTTGAAGAGATGAATCCACAGAGGCATAGACATTTTTTGCAAATATATACTTCAAAAATATTTTACAAATTTTAACACAAAAATTTTATGTTATATTATATTTCTATTAAATAAATTATTATATCCAATTATATTTTTTTTATAAATTATAATACCTACTAAATCCGATACTCTATCAATTCATGAAATTATGATCGAATTATGTACAGTAATATAGTATTTACATATTAATAGCACATAATAATTAATCGGAATATTATCCAATTTATCTTAACCATAGAATATAGATCGATACACTAAAACAAATAACCTCTGAATTATGTCCTAATAGAAATTGAGTAAAATAATCTCTTTTTTCGTATTATATTGAATTAACCAATAGTTGTTTTATAAATCTATAATTCGTATTGTAAATATAATCTAATATTTTTTTTTTCCTTTTTTTTCCATTGCAACTGTTAAAATTGCCTTATATCTATCAAAAATAGTAGATAAAGTAATATTTTAACCGCAAGGGTAGATTAAATGATACTTTAACAGTTAAAAAACAGTTAAAAACTTTATTTCTTCTCGCACGTTGTTTAATTGCTTCCATTTTTGAAAATTTTTGTATTCTTTTTCATAAGTTATCCGGAATTTAAATGGAAGTAGTTTGGATATGGCGTTTGTCGCCTCAGCCTGAATATCTGTTGGTAATTTACTTATTTCGTTTTGAGCCATTTCTGGCTCCAAGTCAATCAGCAATCGACACAAAAGAGAATTCAAAAATGTTGACTCAAAACTGACAACTAAAGAGACAGCTTTATTTATTTGTCAAATTACATAGAAACCAACGCCAACCCAGCACAATATTTTTTCTATTCCTAATAAATTCCTTGAAATAATAATATTTGAATATTTTTGAAAACGTAACTCACTATGGAAAAAAATATTGTTTTATACACGACGATAAAATTGCATTATCGTCTCCATTATCTAAAAAATATCCATATTCACTGACATCATATAAAAATTTTCAGTTTTTGAATGCAATCTTTAAACAGAATCTTAATTTTAGCAGTATCAATTAGAAATAAATAAATAAACAAATAAATCATCCAGATTTTTGTACTAAACTCACCTACGTCATTATCAAACGACACCTCCAAATTAAAAGTCTCTTCCTCATCATTCTCATCTTCCCTCTTCTTCAAGGCATCCACATCGACAAAATACTCCTTCGTAACCAACTTCTCAACGTTTTGCTTCTTTTTCGCATCCTCAGGGGCACAATACCTCCTCTTCTTCGTGGTTTTAATACAGACAGGGTTCTTATAAACGTACTTTGTCTTCAGAGTTAGTACTTTGGTAGTTACCACCGGAGATGGATTGATTTTTTGGAGGTTATTATAGTTGTTCGTGTGTTGATTGTCAGGAATTGCTAGGTCACCTATATAAGGCATTTTTAGGTTGGGTAGGAGAGCTAGGTAGTTTGTTGGTTTGTAGTACTTCGCACATTCTTCTAACATACTATTCCCGATTGTGTACCTAACGAAAGGTACTAAAAATACGTAAACTAAGAAAACCATGACCGGTACTACTACTAGTGTTCCGTCGATATTCGCGCATTAAATGAGGAAATTTTACCGTAAGAAATTGAAGAACGAAGAAATATGATTATAGACTATGCACAATGTAATTTGAATGAATAAAGTGTATGAAATGTTTTTTCCTAGGTCAGAGGCGTGCTGGGTTACTTTCGAAATGGTATATTGTCGGGTTTTTTTGCGAGCAGGGAAAACAGACAAGTGATATGTAAAATTAATGTTCGTGTGGATGATTAAGAAAGTGGAATTTTCTTGGGATCGAACGGTCTTTAACAATGTATTGTTTTATTGTTTTGTTACTTGTTAAGCTATATTACTGTAAAGATAAGAAACCTACAAAAATATGGGTTTAAAACGGACTAACATACATGGTTATTATTTATTTTTATTGACGTCATGTTTTTGCTATAGTTAATGAATGCATTTTCTCAAAATGTTAATAATAAAAAAGTTTTGCAAAGACATTAGAATTTTTAGAATTTAGAATGAGTGGGAGGGGGGTTAATCACTTCGACCTTACAGATCCATTGTGTCCCCCTTTCTTGACTCATAACTCATCATACAGTCCCAGGGCTTTGACAAAAGCCAGTATCTGGGACGGTTTTATAGAGGGTAGTTCTCCATCTCCAATATCAGTCGTACCAAAATTCATCGCACGAATGGTTGTCGTCTCGGCGCACTCAGTGATGAGGTGTACTGGTGTTTCACCATCTTCCCCACAGAATCTGCATTCGTCGTTTCTTCTTAGTTTCAATCTACTGAGGTGTTCATTGATGAAACAGTGTCCTGTTAAAAACCCCGTGACAATCCGAAGATTGTTCTTACTCAGACCCAGGAAGATCTGTGATTTTTCTTGATCATAAGCCCTCAGAAACTTCTTCGAGTGTCCTAGACCATTGCAAGATTTCCATTCCAGGTTGCGGATGGAATCTTCCAAGTTCTTGAGTTCCGCCTTGAGTTGGTTACCACTTGGAAAGCAGAACGGTTCTGGTCCAGTTAGTGGAGTGTTCGCTCCTTTCCTAGCTAGATTATTTTGCAAAGACATACTGAATATTAAATATTTTTAAAAAAGAAGAATGAAATTATTGGGCAAACCTAGAGTAAGATTAGCCATGAAACATGGCTAAAATACGACTACCCGTTGACACTTAGTGTTTCTGCCTTCCGGCTTCATCAATACGGGAGGAACCAGCAACGATGAACTAGCGACCCTGAAAAAAGAAAAAGGGGAAGCAAACGAGGCACTAGGCACCATTTGCAACCTGATTAAGCAGTAGCAAACAATTCGCAAGCGTTACTACCAAAAAACCGCTGCGGAGGTACTTCAACATACCTCGCCGCTATCACCTTGGCCTAGAGAAAACAATAAACAAAAGATGTTATAGTGGGGACTAAAATAAAAAAGAAGAATGAAATTATTGGACAAACCTACAGTAAGATTAGCCATGAAACATTCCGGCTTCATCAATACGGGAGGAATCAGCAGTGGGTTTGCCCAATAATGTCATTCTTCTTTTTTATTATAGTTCCCACGATAACATCTTTTGTTTATTGTTTTCTCTGGGCCAAGGTGATAGCGGCGAGGTATGTTGAAGTACCTCCGCAGCGGTTTTTTGGTATAACGCTTGAGAATTGTGAGATACTGCTTAATCAGGTTGCAAATGGTGCCTAGTGCCTCGTTTGCTTCCCCTTTTTCTTTTTTCAGGGTCGCTAGTTCATCGTTGCTGATTCCTCCCGTATTGATGAAACCGGAAGGCAGAAACACTAAGTGTCTACGGGTAGTCGTATTTTAGCCATGTTTCATGGCTAATCTTACTGTAGGTTTGCCCAATAATTTCATTCTTCTTTTTTATTATAGTCCCCACGATAACATCTTTTGTTTATTAAATATTTTTATACAGTAAATTTACATAAAAACGTTAAATTATAATTTTTTGGTCGACCCTGGTAAACCTACAAATAATTTATTCTACTATACATATTGATATGGTCGACAATAATAGTGAATCAAGGTATTCTCTTTTCAATGAACAAAACCCAACCTGTCTTGAAAAATAGCATATTATTTCGTATTCATAAAAAAGCAATTTTCTTATGATTACCATTCTATGCTATTGTTGCTTGAACAAGTGGTAAATGGTTATTTATTTCTGTTTTCAAATTTATTAGATTTATATCGTTCCAACACAAAAGGTGAAACGTTTAATCGATTATATAGGTACCTATACATTTTTTACCGTCTTTACTTACTTTAAAAGTAAAATTAGTCTTGCGTGCTTTCAATCACTAATCCAAATTACAGGCTACTCTTCAAACTAATTTATAATTAAACGATAAATTAGATTGTGTAAAGATAAATTTAGATGTTTTAAGTTAATAGTACCTATAGTTATGAAGAGACCTTTATTTATGACAATAAACTATGTAAAAAATGTATATACCTATGTGGCGGATTCATCTCTCCAAAATATCCTATATGGGTATTTCGCCACTGGAAGAAAATCTACAAAATAAAATAGTTATTTTTTGTAAACACTTCTGCGTTAATTCAAACGGAAACTACTTGTCAGAAGTTAGGTTTACAGATATACAAATTTGCCTAACGAGCACAAAAATACTTAACGTTTCGGAAAGTTTATCTCTTTCCGTCGTCGGAAACAAAAAAAAATACAAGGAACAAAGAAAAAAACTATTTAAAATATTTAAATTCAACTATTCGAGAACACTTTAGTTTTTTAAAACAGATACGTCTACAAAAACCGTTGACGTTCTGTTAAAATGACATTACATCAAGTTAAGTAATTCAAAATTAACAATTACTACCTGATAACAATTACTTAATAAGGTAAAACCAAAAAGCCCCAAACTTTCTGTATGATTATTTTTAATTTTTACGTATGTTATGTTTATTTATGTTATGTTCTTTAAAATCAAAGAAGCGATTGCCATACGTCAAGTAGTCAATTGATAAGTCGAGTAGTTTTGATTCCATATCCCCGTGACTGTGAGAAAGGAGACAGATATCATCTGCATAACTCAGATCCTCTAACATGTTAAAGGGAATCCACCATATTCCACGATAATACTTGGATATCATCTAAGAGGATATTAACAAGAAATAGCGACAGGACTTACAAAAAGTAAATAATTAATATTATTTAGTGCTATCAATTGTTTACACTTATCGCAGCTTATTTATTAAACAGAATTAGAATTTTTAGAATTTAGAATGAGTGGGAGGGGGGTTAATCACTTCGACCTTACAGATCCATTGTGTCCCCCTTTCTTGAATCATAACTCATCATACAGTCCCAGGGCTTTGACAAAAGCCAGTATCTGGGACGGTTTTATAGAGGGTAGTTCTCCATCTCCAATATCAGTCGTACCAAAGTTCATGGCACGAATGGTTGTCGTCTCGGCGCACTCAGTGATGAGGTGTACTGGTGTTTCACCATTTTCCCCACAGAATCTGCATTCGCCGTTTCTTCTTAGTTTCAATCTACTGAGGTGTTCATTGAGGAGACCCCGTGACAATCCGAAGATTGTTCTTACTCAGACCCAGGAAGATCTGTGATTTTTCTTGATCATAAGCCCTCAGAAACTTCTTCGAGTGTCTTAGACCATTGCAAGATTTCCATTCCAGGTTGCGGATGGAATCTTCCAAGTTCTTGAGTTCCGCCTTGAGTTGGTTACCACTTGAAAAGCAGAACGGTTCTGGTCCAGTTAGTGGAGTGTTCGCTCCTTTCCTAGCTAGATTATTTGCTTTTTCATTGCCTTCTATCCCTTGGTGAGCAGGCACCCAGAATAGGAGGACTTTGTTTTCTTTGCCTAATTTATTCAGCTTCTAATGCATTCTTTGACCAATTTCGAATTGATTGATACTGAGTTGATCGCTTTTAACGCTGCTTGACTATCAGACAAGATGGCTATTTCTTGTTTCCGATAGTTCCTATCTAAGATAAGTTGTACGCATCTCTCGATAGCGTAGATTTCTGCCTGTAGGATACTAGGGTAAGTGCCCATTGGTTCGGAGTAATTAGCTCTCGGCCCAAACACTCCGATCCCTGTTCCCGTATTAGTTTTGGAAGCATCAGTATACCAAGTTATGGTATGGTCTTTTAACTGCTGTATTAAACAGACAGTCAACTTAAGATCGTTCAGACGGACCTTTGCTTACTTATAGTCTGTCACTTTTGCTTACTTATGTCTTTTTGTGGACACCGTATAATCAAAAGATATTTTATAAATTTGTATATAATAAAACTAAATTATTTCTATAAAATAAAATTAAAAGATCTATTTTTAACTGCAGAATGTGCTGCCCAAATTTCCGAATACCAGTTCGGACGACCCTGTTATAATAGCGTAATATAAATTTAAAATAAAATATCCAACTTAATACAATTTTTGTAAATTTTAAGTCAAAACCAAAAATTTTTGTGTTAAATCTAAAAGTACATACTGGCAGTACTTAACTTCCAGGTGATAATGATAATGTAATATTACAAATTATGTAAATTACTAGTCTCAAGGGTACTAATTTGCGTCTATATGATGCCCGACGTTAGTACTTTGCCAATTATTATCGAATCTTCACTGTTTCGAATACAGACAGACAGCTTATTTAATAAACAATTAACAAATATTATTAAAACGTTAAAAAAGTTCCACATATAGTTTAAAATAGTACTATGTGAATAATGAAAATAATTATGCAATTAGCGTACAAACACTCCGATCCCTGTTCCCGTATTAGTTTTGGAAGCATCAGTATACCAAGTTATGGTATGGTCTTTTAACTGCTGTATTAAACAGACAGTCAACTTAAGATCGTTCAGACGGACCTTTGCTTACTTATAGTCTGTCCAACGAGACGATTTGTGACATTGGCAGTTATGTCTGTCATTTTAATTCAAAGGTAAATTGTATCTTCGAAATCGACTGGCTGTCTAATGAAGAAGCTGTGGTAAAACACTATTTTTGATGAAGTGTACAGAAAAAAAAAAGAAAAATTGAGAATTAATGGTCTTAAATTAATTAATTAAATCATAGAATTAATTTATTATTATTATTAATCTACAGTAAATTTTGATTTTTTTAAGGAACTTTTAATTAATATCGTTTTCATTTAGACTTTTTGTGGACACCGTATAATCAAAAGATATTTTATAAATTTGTATATAATAAAACTAAATTATTTCTATAAAATAA